GCCTTGTCCGCCCGCTGCGCCATGGCCGTGGCCGCAGCGTTGTGGTGCATCTGCTGGGACGTGATGTAGTCATTGATGATGGTCTGTCGGTTCTCCATGGCAGCCGTGTCCGGGTAGCCCCGGATGAGGTACGGGGGGTAGAGGTGGGGGTACGTGGGGCTCGGAGCCAGATGCCTCGGCAGGTAGTAGGCAGCAGCTGGGAGAGAAAAGGATGGGGATGTAAAAGGCTTCCTCCAGACACCTCAGGCTTTTGGAGCATAACAAGGAAAAAACCAATTCCAAACAGACTTTGCCCCCACTGAAGGTACCTGCTTCCAGTTGGATTCCCCTCGGGATGGCGGCGGGGTCAAAAGCCAGTGGGATGTGTCCTCGGTACAGGTCGACCCCACTCACACCACGGAGCAGGTGCTCGTATGGGGAGATGGGGTGGTGGTGGTCAGCCACAGGGGCATGTGGAGACTTGGAGTTGTTGAGCTCTCTTGATGTGGGGGTGATCTTTCTGTCCTGGGACACCGGCTTCCCGGCAGTGATGCTCCCTGCAGCGAGCAGAAGGAAATGACTCAGAGACACTGCTGCGGCCAAGCCGTGCCCCTGAGGGATGCCTGCAGCCAAGCGTGTCCCTCAGGGACCTCGCTGAACTTGAGGGACCTTTCCCTCCTCCCTGCACCACCGTGCCCTGTTATGCCACCAAGCAGACCAAGCCCCAGCTGCACCCAGGGAGAGAAGCCTATCCCAAACCATCCCTCCACCCCAACGCATCCATGCTGGGCAGTCTGTGAGCTCACCCTGGCCTGCACAAGCAGCCGACAGCGAAGCCTTGCTGCTGTGCTCTTCGGCACAAGGAGGTCAACACTGCTGGGCAGAGCTGGGAACCAACATCTGCCAACATCTGAAGGCTTCCCCCCAAATGACTGACCTAACCAGGAACACAGCGGAGGCTGCAGCAACTGGACACACCAACCACGGAGAGCTGGAGGTGGCCCAGCTAGCAATGAATGATGGGGATGTGTTTTGGAGGAGCTCTGCGCTGCACAGCCCCATCTCTCACTGCTTGCCGGGGAGGCACGTCCTCACCTCGGTTCTCAGCAGATTGCAATGTCTTGTGCTGCACGCCCCCAAATCACAAGACTCCTGGGTTAGGACAAGGATTTGCAGGCAGGCGATGCAAAAAGCCCCAGAGCAGTCACCCGTAGCTAGGAGGCTTGGTGGGACAAGATGTTTTAGGGACTGGCTTCAGCACTGATCCTGCTCACAAACGTGCCATGAAGCAAGAAGAGGTTCTGTGCTCTGGATCTGAGCTTGTCTCACCAGATCACTAAGCCAAGCCCAGCCCAGACACACACTGCTTCCAAGGAGCCCCCGCTCTGGGGGCAGGAGATGACTGATGCCAGGGGCATGAGCAGACCCTGCCTGGTGCAGGGAGACAGCAGATCCCAAAGACCAGCTGCACTGCACAGATCCACCGGCTCAGAAGGGATTAGATGTTCCTGTAAATGAGGCACTCCAGTGCCAACGTGATGGATGAGGCACAAACACACAAGGTAGGCAAACACACACCAGATTCTGAAAAGTATGAAGATCCCCTCACACAATGCACCAAGGCTTAACTGCCTGTCTGCAGAAACAAGGGTGCCCTGGGTCAACACCTGAAACAGCACCAGCTTCACCAGCCACGATCCAAGTGTCCCTTTGGTTACCACAGTGCAGACGTGGGGTGCCCTCCCTGGAAGGCAGCTGAGCCCCAGCTGTCCCTGGCAGCCTCCCCAGTGCCGTGAATCAGCCATTGCCATGGGCAAGAGTGGGAGCAGGGTGCTGAGGAGAACGGGTCTGACAGGCACTGGTTGGGATCAGCTCGAGCAGGTGGGGTCAGCAGCCACCTCCCGCACGCCTTCTAGAGATGTCAGCATCAAATAAAGGCTTTGCCAAGTACCTTCATGCTGCCGTGGTGTGGACTCTCGTGTGGACACCGGGGACACCCTGTGCAAGTGGCTGCCAAATGCCGTGCTGTGCCCTGCCTGGTGGTCCTCATAGGAGAGGGCACTTTGGTGGGGCTTGCCTGGCTCAGGCACAATCACAGGAGCCCCTCTGGCAATGGAGCCACCCGAGTTTGTCACTGGGCTTGGCCTGTTTTTCAGGCTCTCTTCGTAAGCTCTCTCCAGATTCCTCGGGTCTTGGATGACATCCAGTGAGTGCACAGAGTGAAAAGTCCTGCCGGGACTGCCGATGATGGACCGCACGTCGTGCTTTTTGGTACTCGAGGAGGAGGAACCGCTGTCGTACTTCAGTGGGGTACCCTGGGGACAGAAGAAAGAGGAGACATCAAAGAGATGTAGAGCAGAAGGGGATCCAGCGGCCACATCCCACCAAGTTTCAATGCAATTCGTGCTTCCTCATTCAGTGGGTCAGTACCCAAGTTTACTCGGTCAAATGGCGAGAGACACAGAGAGGACAGCCCCACACGGCGCAGGGCAGGGTGGAGTGCCCATCCTGCATGTCTCGGTGTGCTCCAACAAGATGACGATGAGTCAGTGCCGAAGGCTGGCTGTGCCCATCACGCCTCTCTCCTACACACAGTGCGAAATGAAGTAGGACTACGAGGTGCCATGGGAACCCTCCAAATATTTGGAGCCCAACAGGAGACAGCATGCCATGTTTCATCCTAACTAGTGGCCTTGCTGGGTTGACACTTGCCCATAAAGGGAGGAGACCAAGATTATGTGCACCCAGAGTCACAACTGCCAAGGGCAACGAGTTGACTCTGGCCTTAAACAAGAGCCAAATGCATCCCCTTCCATGTACACATGTGGATAGAGCACTGCATTCTTAATGAGCTGGGGGGGGGCTGAGCTCCCTTCCCTGGGTTTTGTATTTATCTGCTAGGAAAGATCATAGAATGGTTTGGGTTGGCAGGGACCCCATCAAAAGATGGGGAAGAGCAAGCTGTAACCAAGCAGAGACTCAATTCTGACCAGTGATGTTTTTGCAACCCAAAGCCCTCTCACCTCTCTTTTACCTTGGGAATGGTCCCAGGGTCTGTATGAGGACAGCAGCCTGAGTAGGACCAATCTCATCGGCTGTTTGCCCCATCCTTACCTGCGTGATGGAGCCTTCCTTCAGAGGTCTTGTCAGAGAGATGTCTGGTGTCCGCCTAAGCTCCTCCCGGGGTATCTCATGGATTGATCTTCCTGCTTCTTTCACTGTGGCCACCAGGTCTTCATGGGCTGGTTTCATTTTCAGAGGTGTAAGGCCCTCGTGAGACCTGACCTTGTAGGCATCAGATAAGTCCCTCGGTGGAGTGTTTTCCCTCTTGAGCTGTTTGGCTTCTCTTCTGAGGTAGTCCTCATGAGCCTCCACGTAGGACCGAGGTATTCCTGCAACCCCCAAGCACATGATGGATGCAGAGGGTGATTCAGAGTTCAAGGGGCTCTTGAGATAATGCATGCAACTCTGGGACTGAGTTGCACACAGAGCAGCTACATCACCAATGCAGCTGGAGCACAACTGAGCACACAGAGCAGCTATATCACTAATGCAGCTGGACCACCTCACATCTACTACCACTTTCCAGACCCACTTTGCACTAGTTTCAGCCTGTCTTCATGTAAGTCACCCCTGACTTTGGTGAGAGCTTAGGTTAGTAGAAGCTGAGCAAGACTGAGAATCCCTGAGCTGAGGGTGCAGAGATCTGCAGCTGGACCTTGATGGGTCCAGCCTTGTTCCCTCCTGCCCTAGCCTGACAACAAGATGTCATTCACGTGATACCTCCGAACGTTACCTCTGGCCATGACCATCTACTTCCAGGCTTTACCTTGTGTAATTGAGCCCCGCATGTGATGCTGCTCCTTTAGGTTATGGGGACTGTGTCGGTCTGGAGGGATTGCTCGACCCATGAGCCCTAGAACAGATCCAAAGGAGAAAGCTGGGTTGACACAGGAGTTCATGACAATGAATACACGACAGTATTAGCAGGGACTCTTGGGACAACAAGGAAAACCATCCACATTTTTTAAATTATTTCTCTTTTCAAAAAACGTGATTCCCTTTTTTTGTACTCCTGAAACTGGTTTGCCAGGGCAGGAACCAAAGGCAAACGGGTCAGTCTGTGTCCCTTGTTTTCCCATGCTGGTCACATGCTGTCCTGCTGGGATGTGCTGCCAGGTACGAGCGAACCACTGCCAAAACATGGGCATAAGAAAGTGCATCACGTACACAAGAGGCATGATGGGGTCTCTGTGGGTCACCAGTAACACAGCGTGGGTGAAAGGTTTCACCCAGACCCACCTTCAATGCTGGCAGATAAGGTATCACGGGCTGATAAGCCCCGGCTGATCCTCCCCTCCATCATATCGTAGGTCCGCTTGGTTCCTGTGGTCTCATGCAAAGCTCCTGAGCTCCTGCTGTCTTCTTTGGGACACTGAGAAGCAGCAACTCCACCTGGGGAAGAGAACACCAAGACACACCATCAGGAGCATGGAAAGTCAGCACCAGCCAATGGAGGGTGTTAACTGCTGCTTGCATACGTTGCTGGAAGGTCCGATCCCATCCCAGCACATCAGCAACGCCAGAAACATCACACGAGGTTGGCTTCCAAGAAATTCAGCTGGTGTTTTCTCCCCTCCCTGTCTGTCTCAGGCTCCAGATCTGTGCCTCCCTTGTGGGTAGGAGCATCCGCCCTGTCGTGTCCTGCTCCCTCCATCCCCGGTGGGGAAGCAGCAGGACAGCCCGGAGCCAGCGCGGCGCTGGTGTGAGCAGCTGCGGTTCCACTGAACTCGGGCCTGTGGGTCTGGGGATCTTGCTTTTCCCCTGTTTGTTTTGATTTTTGCTAGACACCTACTGTTTGGGATCTTGGCCAGCCTTAACATTTGCTGAGACACTCCCTGGGTGAGAAAATCAGGGAAAAGGAGGGAGAAGCAAGGCTGAGAATGATTCCTTTGAAACAGCAGTGAGCGCGCGAAAGAACTGGGAAAGTGAGAGGTCCCACGCAGGACTGATGGAGCAAGCACTCATGTGATGAAGACCACCTCCTTGTCTGAACCTGGAGCAGATTCTTCTGCAAACAGTGGACAAGTGTCATGAGCTACAGCCCCCACCTCTCCCAAGCACAGCCCTGCCTGTGCCAGGCAGCATCACGCCCACCCTGGGCCATAGGCATCCATCATGTGCAGCAAGCTGTGAAGTTAAGCAGCTTCTGATCCAGCTGAATGCCTCCTGGTTATGTAATGAGCTCAGAGAGGGAATGTTGGCTTGGAGAGATAAACACCTCTGCCCGTTGTCCCTGGCCAGATTGCCCCTGCCAAGGATTGCCAGTGCCCCAATCATTCTCTCTGTGCACAGGGAAGGTCGTTATACAATTAGAGAAAATGGGGAAGTTAAAAATATTCATTCCACTGTGGACAACTGGGAACAAAAGTTCTCCTTGGCAAAACCAGTAATTAATAAAATAGGATTATTACAACTTCACACCCACTACTGGTTCCCGCAGCCAGCACCCACTCAATCCACAAAGTGTTTGGGGAGATCTGACCCTGAGCCTTCACTTTGGATTCATTCTACGGGAGAAATCCGGGGGCGACACTGAGAACCAGCCAAGCACCCTGCGGCAGACACGGGGTGATGTGCCTGCACCCTGTCATCAAGGCACATCTGTTGCCAACAGCCCTTCTGCAGAGGGGGACGCAGTCCCGGCACCCTTTGTACCACTGGGAAGCAGGGGGGGTGCGAGTGAGAAGAGACTAAACAGAAAGAAAATCACTCCAAGCCCACGTCCCTTGCCTTGCAGAAGCCATCAGCAATCATATGCAGAATGAGAATAACCAATCTAGCACAATTCAGCTTGCACATGCTACAGGATCTCGTCTCATTACAGCTCTTTTATTTTAAGCACCCTCATGACACTAAAGAATTTGCAATTTTTTTTCTGCTTGCCAAAATTCATAATCACCAACAATTTCAGTTTTCTTATTTAATTTTTGTTTAACTCTTCCTCACCGGGCTGGTGTTTGGGGGAAGGAGAGAGGCAGCAGGGCTGGCAGAAGCACACAACATGACTCAGGATGTGATAAACGCTGTCAAGTGTGTGAAAGGCTGCCCGTGGAGAGGAAGGAATTAATTCCTCATGTGTGTCCACAGCAGGTAGGATGAGATGCCATGGGCTCAGGCTGCAGATGAGGAGACTTGGGCTGACACCGGTAAGTGCATGCAGTGGGGGTTTGGTCTGCCCAGAGCGGGATTCCAGCTCTGGGCACAGGGAGTCCTCACTGCTGGGAGCCTTCCCTGTCTCTCCCTGATAGCACCACTTTCTGAGATCAACCTCATTCGACTCCAAGCGCAGGCAGAGGAGATTAAAATAGCTTCTTGCACAAACAAGTCCTGAAATGCTTCCTGCGTCCTCCCTGGTCCGAGCCCTGCCAACTGTCCCAAAGGGCGCCCAGACACAAGTCTTCCACAGTGACACTTCTTATCTGGGCTAGAGTTGACAGTGAATGCGGGCAGGCATGGGACAAGCTGGTTTCCACGTGGTGGCTGAGAGGCACGGCGCACAGCCCTGTCCTAAAAGGTCCCTGTGGTCCCAGGGCACACACACAGAAGTGGCATCAGCCAAAGCTTGTGAGCTGTCCCCAGTGGTCTGACCTGAACTCTCTGCTTCTGGCCTTGGATGAAACAACGAGCCTGTGATGAAACCAGCTGCTTGCACTTGTGGGCAAGAGGAAAAGGTCTTCTGCTGGACACCCTCTGTCTGCAGGACTAACCACAGGGCCTAACAGGGATGCTCTGCCCCAGAGAGGGATGCAGCTATACTGGGGAGGGACGCAGAGGGCAGCACAGCAACTGACCAGAGATACCTGCTGAGGCAGGCGAGCACAGCAGGGGTTAGGATCTGTTCCTTAGTCACCTCCACATTCAACTGAGAGGTGACACGGGAGGACAGCCATCCCCGTGCACATGCCAGTATTCTATCCCAAGAGGATGTGGGGCTGTGGTGTCTGTAAATCAGCTCTTCCCAACCCCAGCTGTGGGTGAGGAGCCTGGCTCCACGCCAGCGATGCTCAACGCAGCACACAGTGGAAGGCGAGCACGAAGGAGTTGTTTCCAGCTTCACTAGAGAGGAACATCTGCTTATCTCTGATGGGAGCCACTGGGACACACGGAGCAGCTTTGATGGCCAGTGCTGTGATCAGATGAGCAGGCGCAGAGGAGGCGGAACAGCCTGTGAGTGCTGCTGATACCACTAACGCAGCCAGGCACCGCCGGCATATACTGAGGCAGCGCATTACTGTGCAGTGGGGCTGAGAGCTGCAACACGGCTTTTAGGTCTCTCCCGAGCCCTTTGAGAGCAGCCCAGCATCAGGCTCACTTGCAGGGTTTGCTTTGCCATACTCTCCTCCTCGGCTGGGCAGAGTCAGCCTGTAACAAGTGACTCTGTCTGTGACACAGTCCTGCCAGGCCCAGGAGGATTCCTGCAGGGCAGCCCCATGCTGGGAAAGCTGTGCCCAAGGTGTTGCAGGTGAGAATCTGATGTCTGAATAAACCTTTATGCCAAACTATCTGACTTGCCTCCAACTCGCAAGTTCTTAAGTCCCACCTTGGCCCAAGAGGTTGGGGATGGTTTCCTACTGTTTTCGCAGTCTCCTGCAGAAGGTGCTAGGGATGAAGGCAATACTGTCCATCTGGTCCTCTCCTCTCTCCTGGTCCTCAAACCCAGTGAAAACCAGAGACATCACACCCCTGCCCATCAGCAAAGCCACCTCCAAGGCAAGGTAAGCACACAGGACAGAAGGAAACCCAGCCAGGCCTTAGGCAGGCAGGGTGGGAAGGGAGAGAAACGATGCTGGAAGCAAGGACGCGAGGCTGGGACGTTGCACTTTGTCAGCCTTTCCTCAAATAGCTCCCAGCTCCCAGCCACGGCGGCACAAACCCCTGGCGCCTGCCCTAAAAAGGCAGAGGATTACGACTTACCCTCGTAGGACAGCACGTGGCCTTTCTTCCCTTCGTAGATGACATGTCCTTTGGGCACAGCATCCTCTCTTGCCTTCTCTGCTCTGCTGGGGCTGTCTTCTCCGATTATCCTGGTAATGGTTCCTTTGTACAGCACTTCTGCTGGGGTGCCCTTGGAAAGCCACCAAGATCCATATTTAACAGTGTCACAAGCAATTAAGCAAGCGCGCGCGCAGGG